ACGTATGGTTGCGGAGCGCGGTCGCTGCAGAGGCGGCAGCTGCGCCAGTTGCCCAGTGAGTGGGCATGACCGTCGGCGAGCCAAGGCAGCCCTGACGAAGCGAAGTGCCGATGACTCCGAAGACCGATCGCTCTATACGAAGTGTGGTCACTGATTGTCACTGAAAGAATGACACTGAACACTGGAGAGTGAGTGTCTGGGTCATTTTGCAACTGACGGTCAGTCAGCATGTCTGTCTTGGTGTCGAGTTCTAGCTGAGGCTCATGGCCAGATATTACTTTTGAATGAAAGTTACAGTCTTGTCCATGAGGGGCGCCCTCTGAAGAAAGGTCGGGTCTGTCATATGTCAGTTAGTCTGTATTAATAAGTTCACTGTCTGTATTTACATACATTTACATATACACACTTATTCCTTACTTCTATGTACAATATATACAAGGCCTCTGTTAGTCCAGGCTAGATACAGCAGATTATACCATTTCTTCCTAGTATTATTATCAACCACAGCAGTCTAGACACTTGAAAGGTTATATGCCTGACCGTGGCCAAGTTTAAGCCTCATAAACTTTCTGTGGCGGGCTTCGACTTGTCCGATGTTGCGAAGATTCTCATTATCATGATTTTGTAAGACTTTTGCTTGTTGCCTGCATAATTTTGTCATGTAATCATATACGTATGGAATTTTGAATTCCATATGCAATTCGAGGAACTCTGTGCACCTTGGAAAATTGCCAATGGTGCGGAGAACCTTGTTTTGCAGGCGCTGCAATTTCACTAGATGAGTGTCTGCCGCAAACTCCCAGGCGGGACTAGCATAAGTCATTACGGATCTAATGAGAGCTTTGTGGAGGGTCAGTTTAATGTTAGCGCTCAATCGATCAATTTTGAATAGGGAATACACTCTAATGAATGTTCTGAAGGCCTTGGCTTCGATCATTCCTATGTGTAATCTCCATGTCAGTCTCTTATCGAAGGTTACACCTAGATATTTTGCACTATTTACAAACGGAATATGTTTTCCATTTAGAGTGAGGCAAGACTCAGGCGGTCGACGACGAAGAGAGAAGTAGACACCCTGAGTCTTATATTTATTCATCTTTATATTTCAGCGCTCACACAAGGTCTCCATTGAGCTGAGACCGCGCTGGAGTTTACTAACAATAAAACACTCCTTACGATCTGTCGCATATAGACAGGTGTCGTCAGCAAAGAGGGCCAGGTAAACACAATGAGTTTGGGCGACATCATTTGTGCACAAGTTGAAAAGAGTAAGGGAAAAGACAGAACATTGTGGCACACCTGCTTGCATTTAACTTGGCTTTGATATTTCGCTTTCAACCGAGACCCAGAATTTACGTTTAGAAGGGAAGGATCCAATAAGCTTGGTCAAAGAGTTAAAGAATTTCAATTTCGATATCTTATACAGCAAGCCAGAGTGCCACGTGGTATCAAAGGCTTTCTCGATGTCCAAGAACACTGTAGCCGTAGACATTTTATTGTTGAAATTAAGGGCCACGTGGTCCGCCAGCCTCATACATTGCAATTTCATGCTGTGACGTGCACGAAAACCAAAATGGCTTGCGTTGATCAGGCCTCTTTCTTCAATATTTTTACGGGGGAATTTCAAGATTACTTTTTCGAATAGTTTTTCAGTCGTGGACAGGAGGCTGATCGTACGTAAATTTTGGAGAAATTTCGGGTCCTTACCCGGCTTCGGTATAGTTATTATTTTTGCTTCCTTCCAAATATTTGGAAAATTAGAGAGCCGAAAACAGTGATCGAATAAATTATTTAGGTGAACCAATGGTCACCTTGAAAGGTGCCTGAAGCATTCATTTTGGATGCCGTCAATTCCACAGACCTTCTTTAATTTCAGGGAACTTAATAATTTCTGAACTTCACATGGTCTGATCTTTAAAGGGAGGTTTTCATCCATGGCTTCCAGCAGAGCTTGAACTCTAGCCTCCACACGCTGTTCATGGTTCTCGTCGCACAGGTCATGTGTGGTGAAATGAATTTCCAAACAGTCGGCAATTTCGTTGGCTTTATCAGAAGGGTGAAATTTAAGGCCAGAAGAACCATAAACAGCAGTTGGTGCCCTTGGTCCGTCTCTCTTTAGGAGAGATTTCGCAATGGGCCATATACCCTGAGGTGTGACTTCAGGGTTACATATTTTATTTGACACCTTTCAAGTGTCCATTTTCGGGTCATTCGTCTGACCGAATTGGTGACCCAATTGACTGCCGCTTTACACGCTTGATCCCTGGTTTCTTGCCACAATTTTCGTACCCTCTGCTTGTATTTTATCAAACGATCTAGACCAGGTAGATCGTTGTTTATATCCGAAAGTGTAACTTTACTTGTCGACAACCTATATGCCGAAGCAATAGAGGCTGCAATGTCTCGTGCCTCTTTATCGGCTTCTACCCTCGAATTAATTTCTAGTTTAGGTGCTATTAACTCAGAGGCGAGGCTTTGAAACCACTCCCAATCTGTAAATTTTTCAATGTGTTCCGAAAGATTCCTAATTTTAACGTGATCCGGTATGTGGAATACTACTGGTAGGTGATCTGAATCCAAAATATAAGAGACGATGACATCAGACACTATGATATTTTTGTGAACCACAATATCTAACACGTCACCAGTTCCACCAGTGGAATAATGAGTGGTGCACTGTGGCGCTGAGATTTCGAAATCATTCTTATCAAGTAAATCAATGAGTTTCAAGCCTGAGGGGTTTGAAATTCTGCTCTTCCAAAGTGGGTGCTTAGCATTCAGATCACCTACTAAAATATTCTTACGTCTAAAGCTTAAGAGTTCAGTGATGTCAGCATCACTCCAGGCTCTGCCTGGAGATATATAAACAGCTGCAAGCAGTACTTCGCTATTACAAATTGGTATGCAGACCCCTGTCGCTTCTACTGCATCAAGGGTGGTAGGTCTACATGGTTATGGGGAATGCCTTTTCTTACTGCAACAGCATTTCCGCCTTTTCTGCCCGAGTGGCGGTCGCTTCTATAAAAGTAGTAATTTGGAATAAAGAACCTCTCATGAGGTTTCAGATGTGTCTCTGAAAACAGGGCCACATCTACGTGTAGGTCTTGCAGCTGTTTACTGAGCTCATAGCGCTGCCTCCCAATGCCGTTCGCATTCAATGTTATGACTTTCAGGGGCCTGTGTACACTAGTGGCCATTTTGTTTCATGAGATTTAGCACAGTCTTGGTAATGGCCATTATTCTTTCCTCCTTGGACATTGCACAATTGAAATCTGTCATTATCTGCTGTACTACAGTCACTACTCTCAACATATTGTCGAGGGATTGACTGTTTACACGAGTAGTCTGAACTGACTGACCTGTTTCCTTCTGCAGTGCAGGGGCCGGTACAATCTGCTTCCTTGTTGTGGGTGTAGCCACCGGAACGTTGTTTTCCTGAGGGCGCTGTTGCTGCTCTACTCTACTGCCTCGGAGTGCCACAGCGAAGGAGACACCTGGAGTGACCGTGGTTGAAGAGAACACCCTCCCTGTATTTCTGGACGTTCTCTGAGCCTTCTTTCTCTGTTACTCCTCCTTGGCATATTTGCAACCCCGATAATTGGCGGGATGTGGCTTCTCTCCCTCCGCCAATCGGCAGTTGCAGCCTACTGGTGTGGAGGCAGAGTTCTCCTTTTCTGGGCACTCCTTTTTTAAGTGGCCACCTCTGCACCACAAAAAACGGGGGGCCTGTTTGCCGTTAACCAAAACGTGGCCGAACCGTTGACAATGATAACATACTGTAAGTCCGTTTTGCGCTTCGTAGGCCTCTACCTTGACGTAAATGTGGCAGAGGTTTGTTAACCAGAAGAGACCTTGGTACTTTTCGGTTCTTTGTAGGGTCACTAGGAACAGAGGAAGGTTGATGGTCCTTACTCTATCCGGAGACGTCCAACGACTAGTTGTCATTTGCTTGACGTTAATAACGTCAAAACCCAGACTCACCAAACCGTCAGAGATATCCTCCCCTGGAGTATTTTCCGGGAGATGACGGATGAGAGCTTTAATGGGATTTTCGGATTTTGGAAAATAGGAAAAGTAAGCCAGATTGCTATCCTCAAGGAATTTCTTTATGGCTGAAAAGTCTATCATTTATTTTTTGACAATTCTGTTCCCACTTCTTGTGTTGCGGAACTCAAAACTGTCATTAACAACAACTGCTACAACAAATGCTACTTCCTTTCGTAAAAATTCGCACTCATCAGGCTGCAGTTTGAGATTATGTTTCTCATCCTGCCCAAAACTTCTCTTAATTTCTCGTTGTGAATCTGCAGCGTTTCTCCGAAAATTACAATGTCATCAAAATAAACCAAACATTTTTTCCCTGTATCCTGGCGAGTACAGTCGCCATCAACGTTAAAAAAGGTGGATGGATCTGCCTTTAGACAAAAAGACATTCTATTGTATTCATAATTACCTTGTGACCTACCAAATGCCGTCTTTTATTGGTCTTCCGTCCTAACTACGGACTGGTGAAATCCACTGGCGCAGTCCATAGTTGATAATTATCTTGAGTTTCCAAGTGCCTCTAATACTTCTGAAATCACTGGAATGGGTAAACTGTCGCCAATGGTGACGTCATTAACTTTCCTGAAATCTATTTCCAGTAGGTAGAGTCGCTCTCCAGGACATGTTTCGGCACACATTTGCCATCTTCAGGTCTAAACAATTTTTTAAATTTGCTTGGTGGGGGGTGGAGTCCAGATGGGTCCACTCAGCATTTGGTGGAATGAAGATTGGCAGGGGAAATCGAAGTACTCAGAGGAAACCTGCCCCAATGCCACTTTGTCCACCACAAATCCCACTTGACCAGACCTGGTATTGAACCTGGGCCACCGCAGTGGGAAGCCAGTGACTAACTGCTTGAGATATGGCGCGGCCTGTCTTCAGGTCTAGGTTTTAGTATAAATTATTCTATCATAAATCATCATAAATTTCAATGTAAGCCGATTGGCTCCACCATTGTGTTATACACTATATATTATATACTACAATGGGTTGGTTTTTTCTCTGTTGTTTAACATTGTGGTTATTTTGTTCAGTGGTTACTAGTGAATGTTTTATGTGACTACGTGGCAAAGAAGCACACTATCCGTCCACTCCATGTTTCCTTATTCTGCTGTTCTTCCTGGGATGGCATGGGCTGAGTTCTTGTTGACACTGCTGTTTGTACAGAGTAGAATGTGGTTTTGGTGGTTTCACAGTTTCTCTTACTGGGTAGTCCAGTTTTCTGTAACAGACCTTAAGGTGACACACATATCCTGAAGCATGTTGTAGGCAGCAATTCCACTTGTTGGAAATAGTGTTGTGTTGACAGGAATATAGTAACTGTTATCTCTAGTTGTAATATGCAGTTCTCAGTCAGCATATCCAGCCTGTAATAATGCAGCACATGGCTGATGAAGGTTAATTGGTTAGAAATATCTGGTTTATATGGACATATCATTCAAGGTTTCCAGACTTCATAACTAATAACTTTATTTTCAGGATTACAGCTCAGTCACACTTATCCCCTTGAAAATAAATTTGAGTAGCAATGCAGTGCTCCCAACACATTTTCCACATTCTGGTACACAGTTTGAAGGATGTGCATGTGTTCTGCTTGTAGTGTCATAAAAAGTAAAAGTAATATCTAGACAATTGGCTCAAAGATGGCGGTAAGGTTGTCAGCCTTACGTGCCGGCCGCAATCGTACTACCCAGGAAAATAATTTAATTAATTCCTGGTACTCATTTCTGTTAGAGGCTGAGTCGATCCCAGGGCCATAGTGCGGCAGGAAGGATTAGGTCAACTGAAAAGAAATCCAATGACCTCATCGGGACTTGAACTTGCGACCTTCCCGGCTTGTAGCATAGTGCCTCAACCAACTACGCTACCACATGCCCCCAAATACTAAGACCATTGTAAAATAAACCCTAAATAACACATGCTTGCAAGAACACACACACTTGTAGATTCTAAAGGTTTCTAGAATCGCTGGATTTTTTAACTTTGTCCATCATCTGGCTAGAAAGCTCTTTCTATTGGAACCAGCAGAATAGGTGTCTCCCCCCCTCACCAGAGGCCAGAAACAGATCCAGTTTCTGAAATGGTATATTCTAGATTTTCTGAACATTGGACAATGAACAAAGTCCAAAAACCTAGCAATTCTGAGTTATATATGCTACCAATTTTAAACTATGAATTTTTCTGCCTGAAGCTCAAGTTCAGTGACCTTTTTTCTTTTCAAGTTAAGGTACAGGCTTCTAGTTCACGTTCAGATTCTCACTGTTGTTCTGCCCATCTTTCTTGATCACATTTCTTATTTCCCGGGGTCTGTACTGTTATTTGTCTCTTCATCCATCCTTTCCATGTGGCTCTGCATGTCAGTCCCTCTGTTGCATCACTACACCAAGCGGCTGTTTCACTGTGCACAGCATGTACTCAGGTGACATAAAATTTATATAAAGCAGTTTCTGCACTAGTGGGATACGAGGTCTCAAAAATAAGAACTTCCATTAATGATTACTAACTCAGATCCCTATTGTCACTTATGTAGCAGTAAACTGAAAAACACATACTTGAAAAATACATTTCTTGGAAGAAGACTAGCTTTGCTTCAGTCTGGTGGGAATACAGAGTTTGATAAACTGACTGGCTGGATGCCTCAGGTATATATATA